CAAAAGTATTCAATCACAAATAGAAAATGGTATAGATTGAAAATTATATTAATGAGATAAATATTTCTATATCATAAAATAATATAATTACAAGAAGAATATTACTATCTAATTTCTTAATAAACCATATTACAAAAAATAAAAAAAATATATATATATATAAGAATAATTAAATATCTTTAAATAAAATTAGGCTTCACAAGTTTGGTACAATAAAACAAAAATTCTCGATACCCTTTTAGATATCATTCCGGAGAACATGGCAATTACATTAAACAAAAGAGATTCAAGATCTCCCAATTATTTACTTCCGTATGTGCTCATATTTATATGTGTGCTTGCCCTCATTATACTAATAATTCTAATTGTTATATGTTACAATGATCAGTAAGTTTAATTTTTATAATATTTTTCCTTATAATTAAATTAATTAATTTATATATAAATTCCTAATGCCATATTTCTTAAAGGATATTTATTAAAGGAAAACTTACATGTTAATATTGTTAATATTAGACTTTAATAATCTAATATCATTATCCATATTGTGTATAAAAAAATTGTTTTCTTATTTATTATGAATTTGGAAAAAACAATTAATAGTCAATCTAAAAAATTTTTTTGTAAATTTTGATACACGAATATTCAACAATTTATATTTACAGAATTTTAAGGTGCATATCATATAGTTTCGATCATTTGAGAAACTGTCTTCATAGAAGTTTTCAATGTTTTCATAGAAATAATTCTGAACCTGCTGAACCTTCTGTAAGACATGAAACTATAACTAGAAGAGTATATTTTATCGAGGATAATTAAAAAAAAAACATTACGTCAGTAAGAGAATATACAAATATATACTACACGTAAAATATATACTACGATGAATATAAATATAATTACATTATTTGTCATAAATATTAAACATAATATTGTCTTCAGAAGCATTTTTTCATATAAAATAAAAACTATTTTTAAAAGTTTAATTTCATATTTATATGTTAAAATATTTCTATTTCTTTATTTTCTTAATAATTGTATTCCATATAGCATTTATCAAGATATGAATTTTTTTCTCTCTCGGATTGTTTATTTATTAATTTATAAATAATATTATAAATATGTCTTACATATTTTGTTGTGCCACGTGTATAATATCAATTTTTATTATTTTCTCTTATATCAACTTAAGAAATGTTTCATTTATATATTATATATAATATTTATATTACTTGTATATTTGCTTCTATACATAATAATAAGTACATAATAATAAGTATTGATAAATATTTATAATATCAATTATAAATTATTAAATTATTTAATTCTTTTATTAGGTACTTCATATATATATATATATATATATATATATATATATATATATATATATATATTATATATTAG